CATGTTTCACGCACTAATTTTTGCTAGAGCTGATGTACCTATACCGGTCTTTTTTTTGTGTCAAATCCTCTCTTCTTGTCTGCCTTTGTTTGTCTCGTCACGCAACGGTAACCATTGCGTGAAAAGAACACGTTGTGTGATGGGACCAAACAATGGTTGCGAAGAGAATCAGACAGGACGTAAAGATCGAGCAGGGCGTGGTCAGAGCGTGAAACCTCCCTTTGTCTTGCCTGTCGGACTCTTCTTATCTTATTATTTATGCTTAATTACACTTATCTAATACACATGTCACGTTAAAATGGTGAATTATGTTTATGGCGTCATACCTGGGAAGGGATATTTGGTTTGTTATCTGTGAAGTCCAAACACCTCGTAGTCTGTAACTGCAAAATGTTTTTCTCCCGCGAGGAATGTTTTTGTATTCTGTCCTGTGGGACACTAGTACGAGCAGCTGAGGATAATGTGATAATTGATAATTGCATTTCCTGATATATGTAAGTCATGCCCTGCACCAAACGTTGGTCCATAGCCTGCTTCACAGTCGATGGCATGCTAGTGACTCTTAAAAAGCGACATTTTGACCCAGTCCACCAGGGTTGACCATGCTGAACAAGAACGCTTATGAGCATCTTACCCATTTACTGGAACCTGCTTGTAAGTCAGAGATGATGCTTTAGAAATGGTATTTGCATTAGAGAACATTAATAATCTAGATAGAATTTTTTGGAGTAAGAAATCAATACATTTTCTGAAGAAGCGGGTATATCACAATTAAACATGTTAAATCAAATCGGGTTTAACCTAATGAAAATCAGAAACGTTGAATTAGGAAGCTGATTTTCTCTTAGGTTTCAAGTAGTCACTAATTTCTTTTTTCATGTGCTGAGTTTAAGTGTCGAGTCAAGAGGTGATTTTAATGGCTCAATATCTCGTGACATACAAAATCATTTTCTCGTTATAATACAACAATACAAAGCTGCAGTCCCAAATTAAGGGCAATCTACTGTTGCCATTGCTTTCTTTATCCAATAACAGTATGTATAAGGAAGCGTGAAACTTGCTCGAAAAGATTTTCGTATAGACATAGTCTGATAGTGTATTATGACTTTCTACGGGATTTAGCTGCGAACAGAAGAAAATAAATGCTTTTTTTCATGTAGAAAAGTTAACCTTTCAAAAAAAGTTATAACCGAGAAGATAGTTCAAATGATTGTGAAGTTTAACCCAATGGCTTCTCAAATGTTTGTGACGGTTGTCATTAGCAGATTCCAAACACTTCAAGGTCCGTCACTTTAAAACTTTGAGCTCCCGTGAAGAATGTGCTCTGCTGTCTGGTGGGAAGCTGATACGAGAAGCCGAGATTAATGTAACTTGAACTACTTGTGTTTGCGTTATTTGATATATGTAAGTCATGCCCTCCTTCAAATGTTGGTCCATAGCTGTTGGTTACAGTTAATAGTATTTTGCTGATTTTTTAGAAGAGGCATTTTACTCGGAGCCACTCCTTGCGGATTCACTATGCTAAACAAGAATGAGTGTGAGTAGTGCGCGTAGTTACCTAGACCCGTTTCAGTGAAGAAAAGAACAAAAATATTTTTTGTGCAAATTTTGGAATAACTTATAAACTCAACATTCCTAAAGCAGCTTGCCATTATCAGGCATTATAATTTTTTATTCTGCAAAAAGTGCAAAATCTTCGATTTAATCTCTCAAGACCTAAAAAATTAACATTAATCAGGCTGTACAGAGTTATCTTGCATTAAGCAAGGGCCATTTTATGTCGCACTCGTAATTAATGTGAATTTCGATTTTCTCCGTAAAAATTGGCTTGGGAAAGATAATTTAATTGCTTATGAGACTTCGATAGTGAAATATTCTTAAGCATATTTTTTTTCATTTAGAGTTTGAAAAGATGTGCTTCGATTGAGAGAACGTAAAAAGATCTTGAGGCGATTTTTGAGTGCACGGCTTTGTACAGGGTAGCTTCCAAACACGCTTCTCGAGCTAATTTTTTCTGGAGCTAATGCGCCCATACCGATCTTCCTCTTTTTGGTACTGATGCAAGCTATGCGCGTTCCATGATAATATCACTCGCTGAGGGACCACAAGGGAGCGGTGGGTACTTGATAAAAATCTTCAGCTCATAATCTTTGTCTCCTGAACCTATGTAGCCCCAATGCACCCCACATCTTTCCCGTTATGGCCCTTCATCCCCTCAAGAGTCAAATCCTCTCTTCTTGCCTGCCTTTGTTTGACTCGTTACGCAACCATTGTGTGACAAGAACACGTTATGTGACGGAACCAA